CAAATGATGATACCAGGAAGTTCTGGAACTACAACTAACTTGTGAATTACTTCCTGAATCTTAGTTGCCACAGGAATACAAATATCCAAATCGGATATAATTTGGCTATGTTCAGGAGAACTGGCATCTCTAGAAAGAAGACTTTAAAAAAAATATATATATATATATACTTAGGCGAATATTTCATTTGACAGTTCCTATTAATTTGCTGGGGAAGCTTTCTAGAGACAGATGAAAGGAGTGTTCTGTTTATAGTTGACCCCAGGGTAACAGTGTTGAGACATGGGTTAGGATTTAGAATTCTTAGAAATTCCTCCTATCTTAGTAGTTTTAGTTCTCCGATAAATTCATTATGCTATTGTAGGATTTATGGTAGAAATAGTGGTACATGTATCTACAGGGGAGCTGTATTTAAAGGTAGTTCACTTTGAATTCAGTGAATTCTAGAGTCATCTTCAGAGCAGCAGCATCGGTAGATTTGGGGCCATTGTTCTTTACACACACACACACACGTGCGTGCACGCACACACATACACCACGCTTTATTTGCTAATATGGAGCAGTGCCTCTTCCAGATATTTTTCTGATTGCTGTATCTGCCAGTATCTTTATGAATAGGTCGTTAAAACTTAGAGGCTGAAGGATCTTTGATTTTTTTTTTTTATCTGAAGTATCATATGTTTGTTTTAGTTTGTAATTTGTCAGTTTTCTAAAGGTCTCCTAACATTTTCTTTCAGCTGTGTTGGAAATCATCCAAATTTGCAATTTTCTGTTACACTTTTTTTTTAAATCCTGTATTTTAGATTTTAGCCTATTAAGAAAAAGAGGGGGCAGGTTCTTTTTACATTCCCTCTTGGGTCTATCCCACAATACAGGTTGAACGCCTTGAAGCCAGTTTCTTATGTCTCTTATTTATCGGTCCATTCCTTGTTTGCAGCCTAGAATTTTAGTCTAAGTTTTAAAGGAAGGGCACCAGAAAAGGCTTTATTTATCACCCTGGTTTTCTTGCGTTCTCTAGTCCCTGTTGAACGTTTTGCAAGGTTTTTTTTTTTTTTTTTCCAGCCACTTTTCAACTATTTTTATCCATCTGAGGGACTACAAGTAAATGGAATCATTAATATAAGCCTGGGATTCCTGGACAGTTTCTTAATAGAATGAAATTCAGTAGCAGCCATTAGTCTGTCTGCCTTTTGGTTTTAGAAAGTCTTTTATTGTGACTGTTAGCCCTAAACTGTACCTTAACTTAGTTTCCATTGGTTTACCTATCATTGTAGCAGTCTTAAGTGGGTATGGGTCATTGGTTGTTTTCTTGGGGGAAGACCTTGAGGAAAGGATATTTCACTTAGGATTCTAGGGGTGGCAGTAGAGGGGAACAGAGGGAATATAGGTAAAGGTGGTGATGCTAAAACATGATAACGTTGGATGCATAAGGAGGGCAGGTTTCAGATAATTTGAATGCTTTTTTTCTTTGGTCTTTGCTAGAGAACTTTAAAGGGATGCTACTTTGAAGTTTGGGTTTAATTTTGAGGCCTCAGCATACCAGTCAAAAAGACTGCCCATTGTGTATTTGGTACTTTTTTCCCTTTCTTTTCTAGAGCTTCTTTTAGTTGTATTATCTTTGACATGTCCAAAATTACCAATAATAGCTAAGGTAATTATAAACATCCTTGGAGAAATTGTGCCGTCTAGCCTGGTAAGCAGAATAACTAGGATTAATAAGAGTGTATATAGGGGCAGGAGTTCTGTCAGGAGAAGTTTGTATCGTAGATGTAGAGAAACCCACATCAATACACAAACTACATACAATAAGATCAAGTGATGCTCATAAAATGGTGGCTAGGGGGGCTTCCCTGGTGGAACAGTGGTTAAGAATCCGCCTGTCAATGCAGGGGACATGGATTCGAGCCCTTGTCTGGGAAGATCCCACATGCCGTGGAGCAATGAAGCCTGTGCGCCACAGCTGCTGAGCCTGCGCTCTAGAGCCCGTGAGCCACAACTACTGAGTCCACGTGCCACAACTACTGAAGCCTGCATGCCTAGAGCCCGTGCTCCGCGACAAGAGAAGCCACCGCAGTGAGAAGCCTGTGCACTGCAATGAAGAGCAGCCCCTACTTGTCACAACTAGAGAAAGCCCGCACACAGTAACAAAGACCCAATGCAGCCATAAATGAATGAATGAATGAATGAATGGTGGCTAGCGACCATGATTTAGCCCCTAGAGTACAGAAATGTTAACCTTTAACCCCAGAGTACAGAAATGAAGGAGAAAGTCCTCCTACATTAAACAAAGTGATCTCTCTTTTAGTTAATCTCTTCATGAAGGCTTTTTAGAGAGGCTTATGGCAAAGTTTTTTGCTCCAGAGAGCAGATACTGGTCTGTTGGGTCTCTTGTATCCATCAGTTTGACTAGATAGCAATTAGTAGAGTCTGTGCCATCATTTGATCCTCTGAAGATTGAATGATAGAGAAAAGACAGTATTTCATGAAGGAGAAGTTTTCTGTCACAAAATTCTTTCAATTTGTGACTCCCGCACTCAGGGAGATACTCAAAGAACCACAGGCTACTAATCATAGGATAACAAACTCAGCTAGATTAGTGACCAGAGCTCTGTGAAAAATTGCTCAGATTTCAGGCTACTGTTGGGACACTGATCAGGAATCATGATGGAGCTGAAAGATAATTGTATTTCAAGCACAGAAGATTCAAGGAATGTTTGCTTGTTTGGGAGTCCACTGGTTCTGATAAGCAAAATGAGTGAGTCTTCAAGGTAGACTCAGTGGACAGCCTCAAAATTATAAACAAAAGCCATGACTCACTCAAATTTGAAAAATTTGAACATATCTCAAATTTTTGCTTGCACAAGGGAGAAACTTCATGTGGAAATGTAGCCGTTTTGAAGAGACAATGTATATTGAATTTTAGAGGGGGCTAGAATTTAGGTTAAATTTCAGTGAAGTGCTTTTACTTATAAAAGCAAAGTAAGTTAATTGCTCATTGGGTGGGTTCTTGAGAGCAGGGTTCTTTTAAAAATTAATTATTTTTGGCTGCGTTGGGTCTTTGTTGCGGTGCGCGGGCTTCTCATTGCGGTGGCTTCTTTTGTTGTGGAACACGGGCTCTACGCGCGTGGGCTTCAGTAGTTGTGGCGCATGGGCTCAGCAGTTGTGGCTCCCGGGCTCTAGAGTGCAGGCTCAGTAGTTGTGGTGCATGGGCTTAGTTGCTCAGCAGCATGTATGATCTTCCCGGACCAGGGCCCGAACCCGTGTCCCCTGCATTGGCAGGCAGATTCTTAACCATTGTGCCAACAGGGAAGTCTAAGAGCAGGTATTTTTAAATGGTAGCTGCTAAAAGTGGGAAATTCAGCATCCTGAATACAAATAGATCATGTCCTTCATTGTTTATGTGCCAGTGTAGAATATATGCCATACTGTGTGCAAGTTGTGTCTTTAGGCAAGTGTGATATTTTTCTTTCTCACTATCTACTGGACGACTCTACCTCCCTCAGTGCACCATTAAATAGCTGGAACTCAGTGTGTGTAGCAGCTCCACTTCTCTTCTAACCCACACCTTCCTTCTGTGTTCTATCTCAGTAAAGTATGGTTGCTTTCCTAAAATCTTATTTGACCCTTCCCTCTTAGACCAGTGTCGTATGTATCATGTAGTGATCTGTCTGATTCTTTCTCTCTGTCTGTGCTTTGCTGCTTTGGTTCAGATAGTTAATATCACTGAGGTTTTTTAACAGCCTCCTCATTGTTCTTTTTACTGCTAGTTGCTTTCTATTCTGTCTTCTACATACTGCTTGAATTTCTTTGAAACTATTTGATCATGTCACTCTCTTGTTTAAAACTTCCAGTGGCTTCCAGACTCATACCTACATACATGTTGCTCGACTTGCCTGGAACCCTGTTTCTTTTGTACTCCCATCCCAGTGTAGTATTTTTTTTAAGGCTGTTTAATCTCCATTTAAGCCTTCCCTGACTCCTTAAATTTCCTGATCCTTCTCTGTAATTCCATATTGTTTTTTCCATATGGTTGCTTAGACTCGATCTTGTCAGTTTGTAGTTTAGCTGTTTACACACATTTCTTTGTTTATAGGCTTTGAATTCTGAGGCAAGGACCTAGAGCAATTCTACTTGGTCAATAATAGATGTTTACTGGATACTTGAATGATTGGAGCCTCTTCCCTTGCCCTAGAGGAGTTAGTTGTCTAAGACCATCTTCCTTACATGTATACTAGATCTCGTCCCCCTATTCAAAGACAGGCAGAGAAGTTGGCTGTACGTTGTTCATTCATAACAAGAGGAAAGTCACAGTGGTGAGGAGACCTTGAACTTGTGTCACATGGTGAGCAGTAGGAGGAACTAGGACATTTAGCCAGAAGTAAAGAAAAATCAGGTGGAATATGATAACAGTGTCCAAATATTTGAAAGACTGTTGTGTAGAAAAATTATTCGACTTAGTCAGTTTGCCTCCAGAGGACAGCTGTAAGGTGAATAGGAAGCAGTTTTGGGCTCATCATTAGGAGGAGATAAGCTGACTTATTAGAAAGGGGATTTTTCATGAGTGGAGCTGTGAAAGTAGAGGCAGAATGACCTGTGGCTTAAAGTGCTTTAAAGTAGATTTTGTATCTTTGGCAAAAGTTGGACTAGATGGCCATGCTGAAGAGTCTGAGATTTTCCTGACAGTTCTAAGTTCCATGACTGCCAGTTTCAGAAAGATACTTCTTATTTTGGGTGAAGAGAGTTTCCTATACATCAGTAATAATTAAGCATTCTCTGTGTGCGAGCTGTTAGGCATTCAGAGATCAGTGATAACTTCTTGCTCTCAAGTAGCTTGTATTTATAAATGGAAAGATTCTTGAGCTTTTCTTCTTCGTTCTTGAGGAGCCAGTGTGTAAATTCTGTTGGTTTTACTCTCAGGATTTACAATGTCTAAAAATTAGTTTTGAGATTTACTTCCCTTTCAGATACTAAAATTGGTTTTCTCTCTTCTTTATTCCTAGCAATGTCTCAGGCTGTGCAGACAAACGGAACTCAACCATTAAGCAAAACATGGGAACTCAGTTTATATGAATTACAACGAACACCTCAGGTAATATAGATTAAGATAACTTAGGGGAAATATGAGGCATATAAACTGGGATATAGTTTTAGAAAGTGAAAACTTGAAAGAACATAACAGTAATAATAAATTTATATACAGTTCTAATTTATGTATGTTTGGTTGACACTTCATTTCTTGAACAAATAATTTGAGTGCATATTCTGTACCAGGTCCTAAGCTAGGCAGTAGGTAAAGTGGTGAATAAAACAGATGTGGCACCAGCCCAGGGAGTTTATGGACATCAAACAAGTAAATTACATATATGAGAAGTTATGTAAAGGGAAGGTCCTTAATGCTGTAATAAATAATAATGGGAGAACCAGGGAAGACTATTTTGAGAAGGTGAAGATGGGGAAGACTGGGAGAGGAACAGGTTTGAAGGAGATAAACATGCTTAAAACTGAAGTCATTTTCAGTTTGAAATGCCTATAAGACAAGTAGAGATGCTACCTAGAGGTCTGGACTAAATATAAAGTTTTAGGACTTGTCAGTACATTTTAAGCATGAGAATGCCAGATCACCTAGAGAGAGATGAGCAGAAGGCCCAGAACTTCATCCAGAGGAGCTTCAAGATTTAGAAATTAAGTAATGGAAAAGGAGCCAGCAAAGGAGACTGAGAAGGAACGGCCAAAGAAAAGTAAGGAAAAATGGAAGATGAAGTGAGGGGATCAAAACATAGGACAAAGTGTTTCAAGGAGGATGCAGTTACTGTGTTCAGTACTACTGAGAGGATGAATAAGGTGAAGATTACAAAAGTGAGCACTAGAGTTGGCTGTATAACTTGGTGACCTTGACCAGAGTAGATTCACTTGAGTAGGTTTTGCTGTGTTAAAGGGGAGGGGGAGGTGAAAATGAATAGGTAATGTTTCAGAGAAGTTTGGCTGTGCAGAGAAACAGAGAAATGGAGTGAAAACTTGAGGGCAACATAGAATTGGGAAGTTATTTAAATTTTGTTTTGTTAATAAGATGAGAGATGGAACCAGTGTCACCCCACCCTCCTCTACACACAGCTCTAAGCTCATCATTCACATTTCACTATGCAGCAACCCTATATTAATCTAGGCTGATTTAGTGAAGAGGGAGAGATTGCTGAAGTCTGAGATCAAATAGAAATCCAAAGAGGGATATACTTGAGAAGGTAGGAAGGAATGGACATGTGATAGGAAGAGGTGTACTTTCTCCTTCTAAGAAGAAAGAGGAAGATGCTTTATAAAGATTTGGTAGAGAGAAAACGAGAGTTCTTTAAATGGAATTTGAGGTAAGGTAATTAATCTATTGAACATTTAGGTGGTAGGTCTGCAGATAGAAGAAAAGTTGTAAAATAGTGCAGTGAAAAGAAAAATGAGTTTTTAGTGATATCAGTCTGGTTGTGTGATTCCTCCCTTTTTTTCCCCTGCAGTGCTATGCAGATGCACAGGTATAGGCATGGAAAATATGGATGGATGGTTTATCCAGGGTTCAGATTTTGCTAGGCAAATTCTAAAGAGGAAGAGGGGACCAGACTTGATTACTAGCTAAGTCATCATCATACTCTCTGTGTGATTTATAAGATCGAGGTTATAATTCCTAAATCAAAAGTTTGTGTGTATATTAAACTAAGTAAAATACAGAAAGTGCTTTATATAGAGAGGTTGAAACATAATGGATACTTGATAATGGACAATATCTATAGTTTCGATGGCTTTCCTTGTGGGGTCATCAATCTTTGACCCTATAGAGAAAACACAAGTACGACGGAGAGCCAGTGGAGACAGGAAGTGTAACATATGGAAGCCCCTTATTCTACCTGCATCTTTCTTTTCAGTGGCCACATACTAGACCTTTTTCCTCAATCCATAGGAGCCTGTATTGGTGCCTTTAGAGCTACATAATCTTTGTTCTCAGTGCCACCTTGTGGGAAGGGCGAGTAGTGGCAGTGGCAAAGAAAGTAGGAGTCACTAATCTGTGCATTTGGGAGGTTTGTCCTGAATTCTACATTGGATCTCCAAATGCATTTTCGCACTGAAAACATTTTTAGACATGACAATTAGAAATACTAATACTTTTTATACTTCGGAGGTGCTATGGTTTAAATCAGTTTGTAGGTTAGCTTGAGAACCTGACCACTTTGTATAAAACTGCTCTGTGGATCAAGACTTTTTAAGGTTCAAAAGGTGATTTTAAAATTAAATCCTGTTAAGCTGTGTATAAATAGGGAATACTTGTATTTGAATTTTAAAATCTTTTAATGGATGGCGTGAAATGTATAGTTTATTATCAAAATGGTGCAGTTTTGCAGATGGAAGAAGTTTTAGGGTTCATTTAGCTTAACTTCCTCATTTTGCAGGTAAGAAGACAATGTTAAAACTAATTATTTAGTGTCACAAAGCTAGTTGTAGAACTAATAGAACCTAAGCCATCTGATTCCATATTCAATGCTTTTTTTATTGCTATACCAGGGTGATTTAACATTAGTTATCTTTTAAATATATAATATGTTATCTTTAGTATTAAAATAAGGGCATTTATATAATGCTTTGGTGCTGGGGCTGAGGGGAGTTGGAGGAGATTATAGCTAAAACAAGATTGGTTGTGAGTTGACAGGGATGGTGACTGGGTGATGGGTATATAGATGTTCATTTTTGTCATTTTCTATATTCTTACGTTTGAACTTGTCCATAATTTTTTTTAATTAGGTAGCATTTAATTTTAAAGTGATGCTTTTTACAGGAGGCAATAACGGATGGCTTGGAAATTGTGGTTTCACCTCGAAGTCTGCACAGTGAATTAATGTGCCCAATTTGTTTGGATATGTTGAAGAACACCATGACTACAAAAGAGTGTTTACATCGTTTTTGTGCAGACTGCATTATCACAGCCCTCAGAAGTGGGTATGTTAAAATGAATTATGCTAGGTACTTAAATTATACAAGGACAGTGTTCTAGTGCTCTGTGGGTTTTGAGAAATACATTTTCTATAAGTGTTCATTTGAGAATTGGAAATTTATCTAAAGTCTAGGTTTTAATTATTGGAGAATCTTTGTTTTGAAACAGTTGATTTTATATAGTTTTAGAAGCTTTTTAGGATGAGTTTTTGTTTTGAGGAAATTACAAAGCATGAAACCATGATTTTCTCACTGTCCTGATGAATATTTTAATAAAATAATTCATAACATATAAATTAATATATATTAGTGGATAGTTTTTCCATGTATAGCATGGATATCAGAAACAGGAAATTTAGGAAGGAATAGATTTTTATTTCTAAAATAGTTATATATAATTTATCATGGGGAAGTATTTAGTTTTTTCTCTATTGGCAAGTAGTATGGAGAGTCTCATGTTTCAAAAATCTTGCTTAGTCACTAGTCAGATATTCAAGGAAAGTCAGGTTAATCAGTTTAAATTTCTGCGACTTAGTAAAGCTATTGGAATACAGATGATAATTATCTGGAAGCTGGCTATTTTTGTCTTTAGCCCAAAGATCCTGGCATTATTTACATTTTCTTTTCTCTCTTTTTATTTAGCAATAAAGAATGCCCTACCTGTCGGAAAAAGCTAGTTTCCAAAAGATCACTAAGACCAGACCCAAACTTTGATGCACTCATCAGCAAAATTTATCCAAGTCGTGATGAGTATGAAGCTCATCAAGAAAGAGTATTAGCCAGGATCAACAAGCACAACAATCAGCAAGCACTCAGTCACAGCATTGAGGAAGGACTGAAGATACAGGCTATGAACAGGTATACGGGAGAGAAGGCCAGGCAGGGCGGCCATTTTTCCACTCTATTAAATACTGAATTAACACCCTCCATTTTGAGAAAGATAAAATGCAGTAACAAATAGTAGTTCTGTGTGGTTACCTTTTCTTGAAGGTATAAAATATGTCTCTAGGCCTAATACGGTATTCCATTTAAAGTACTAGAGTCTTAAAAAAGAAACAAAACAAGACGAATACCCTCTTATACCCACTTCTCCCTCCACTTACCATTGTATTTCTTCTCTTTAAAAGAGTTGTCTGTGCTTACTATATCCAATACTTCTACTGTCCCATTTTGAACTCCCCCAGTCAGGCTTTATCCCAATGCCTCATATCACCCTTGTTGAAGTTACCATTGACCTCCACACTGCAAAACCCAATTGCTGATTCTCAGATCTCATCTTATTTAGCAGCATTTTATACAGTTAATTTCTCTTTTCTCTTTGACTGGTTTCCTTCCGCTGGCTTTCAAGAGACGATATTCTCCTGGTTCCCTTTGTATGTCGTTAGCTGTTCCTTATTTCAAACTTAACATGTTCAGTACTGAACTTGTAATTCTTATCCCCTACTTCTCTTCATTCTTGCTCATTTTAGTTGATGGCAACTCCATCATCCTACTTGCTTTAGCCAAAAACTTTGGCGTTACCTTTCACCTCTCTCTTTTTTCCCAGTCCGTATTCCAGTTTGTGAATAAATATATTTGTAGCTTTTTCCATAATATATCCAAATTGGTCTAGGCAACCACCATCTTTCATTTGAAAGTGTTGAAATAGCCTCCCAATTGGTCTTTCAACTTTCCATGCTTACCTCCACATTGTCTGTGCTCAGCACAGCAGCCAGAGTGATAAATTGGAAGTCAGGTCATAGTTCTCCTTTGCTTTGAAGCCTCTAATAGCTTCTATTCACAGTCAGGTTAAAAGACTTTAATGATAGCTTCCAAGACCCTATATAATCTGAGCACTTTCCTCACCCCTATTCTCTTTTCTGCTCTGACATCTCCTGATATGTTTAGGCCTCAGGGAGAGTCAGCATCTTCCACAGCCACATCGCAATAAAGCCAGCCACCAATAAAGCCACATCCCAATCTAGTGGCTTTCACCTTGGCTGAATATCAGAATCACTTGGAAAGCTTTTAAATCCTAGGGCTTCAAAGGCATCACTCCAGACTAAGTAAATCAAAATCTTTGATTGGGGTACAGGCATTCGTATTTTAAAAGTTCGAGAAGTGGTTCGGAAGAGTAAACTTTTAGTCTTTTACCAGGAGAAAGAATCCCCTTCATAAAATCCTTTATAGATAGACCTTTCATTTTGCTTGAACATTTCTAATGGTGGGAGTATGTGATAGAAGCTTCTTTCATTTGTTAATAACTTTATTAAAGCTTCTTGGCTGTTTTTAAGACTTAGCAAGCTTGTTTCTGCCTCAGGGCCTTTATACTTCCTGTTCTCTCTTTCAGGAACCCTCTTCTTCTAGATAGTCCACATGGCACACACACTCATTCTTCAGGTGTCTGCTAAGTTCCCGTCTTCCACCACAGGACTCCATACTTTCTTACCCTCTCTGCCTCGTTTTTCTTCATAGCACTTATCATTCTCTGAACATGTGTATGTTATTTGCTGTACTAGAATAACATAAGCCCTAAGAGGGTAGAGACTGTGTGAGTATTACTGATTCTTATAACACCAGTACATAGAACTACGTTTGGCTTAAAGTAAATAGTTTTGTATGAATATATATTTTTTTAAAGTTCTTCCCTTATATTGAATTAAAATTAGTCTTTTGTGTGTAGCAGTCTTGGTATGTCTTTGTCAAAATACTTATGTTGGGTTCTATATTTATTTCAGATTCTGCTTCTATCTACTAGTCCTCAAATAACTTCATATAAATATACATTCTTATATGCTCCTCTAAAGGCTAAATATTTACATTCCTAATTTCTTTTATTCCTCATATGACATTCAAGTTTGTTGGTGTGTAATTCTTGAAATGCTACCTCTATAACAGTATGTAGTGTTACGGATATGATTTGATAAATGCAGGATATGATAGGCTATTGATCTACCTCCATTATCTGAACATTATTTTATGAATGCTGCCTGAAATTACATTAACCTAGCTGTGTTCTTTGGAAAGAAGTGTGAGGTAAATATAAATACATTAGACAAGTAACCCTGTTGAGTTTTTTGTTTGTTTCATTATTTTGGTCTTTCCATATCACAGTAGAAAATTATGATAAAAAACATAAAATTTACCATATTCAGCATTTTTAAATATACAGTGCAGTATTGTAAGTGCATTCACACAGTTGTACAATCAATTTCCAGAACTCTTTTCATCTTATAAAACAAACTCTGTACCCATTAAGCGACAGTTCCTCATTTCTTCCTCCTCTCCTCAGCTCCTGGTAACCACCATTCTGCTTTGTGATTCTGTGATTTTGATTACTTTAAATACCTCATATATGTGGAATCATACAGTATTTGTCTTTCTGTGATTGGCTTAATGTCTTCAAAGTTTATCCATGTTGTAGCACCTGCAGAATTTCCTTCCTTTTTAAGACTAATCCATTGTATGTGTTCACTTTTTTTTTTTTTTTAATAAATTTATTTATTTTTGGCTGCGTTGGGTGTTTGTTGCTGCCCACAGGCTTTCTCTAGTTGCGGTGAGCGGGGGCTACTCTTCATTGCAGTGTGCATGCTTCTCATTGTGGTGGCTTCTCTTGTTGCGGTGGCTTCTATTGTTGCGGAGCAGGGGCTCTAGGCGTGCAGGCTTCAGTAGTTGTGGTGTGCAGGCTCAGTAGTTGTGGTTTGCGGGCTCTAGAGCGCAGGCTCAGTAGTTGTGGCACACGGACTTAGTTGCTCTGCAGCATGTGGGATCTTCTAGGACTAGAGATCGAACCTGTGTCCCCTGCATTGTCAGGCAGATTCTTAACCAGTGTGCCACCAGGGAAGTCCCAGTGTTCATATATTTTTGAATCATAGTTTTGTCAATTAACATATTAGTCACCCCCTCTTAATTTTGAAATGCTGTATAGATTTCATAAACAGTATTTTATTTTTTTGGGGGGGGGAAGTTCTTGAGCATCTTTCCTAAGCAAGGATGCTCACTCGCACCACTTCTATTCAACATGGTATTGGAAGTCCTAGCCACAGCAGTCAAAACAAAAAAGAAAGGGAGGGAGGGTATCCAAATAGGAGGGAAAGAGGTAAAATTCATTATATATGCAAATGACATAATACTCTATAGAAAACTGTAAAGACTCCACACAGAAACTATTAGAACTAATAAATGAATTCAGCAGAGTAGCAGGATACAAGATTAATATACAGAAATCTGTTACATTTCTTTACACTAACAACGAAATATCAGGAAGAGAAAGTAACAAAACAGAACAATCCTGTTTAAAATTGCTTCAAAAAAAAAAAAAAACCCTAGGAATAAATTTAACCAAGGAAGTAAAAGACCTATATGCTGAGAACTATAAAATTGATAAAGGAAATAGAAGAAGATTCAAAGAAATGGATAGACATCCCATGTTCTTGAATTGGAAGAATTAATATTGTTAAAATGGGCATACTACTCAAAGCAGTCTACACATTTAATGCCATCCCTGTCAAATTACCCATGGCATTTTTCACAGAACTAGAATAAATAATCCTAAAATTTATATGAAACCACAAAAGACCTAGAATTGCCAGAGCAGTCCTGAGGAAAAAGAACAAAGCTGGAGGCATAACCCTCCCAGACTTCCGACAAGACTACAAAGCTACAGTTATGAAAACAGCATGGTACTGGTGCAAAAACAGACATACAGATCAGTGGAACAGAATAAAGAGCCCAGAAATAAACCCACACAACCTGTGGTCAACTAATCTTTGACAAAGAAGGCAAGAATATACAATGGAGAAAGGAGTTTCTTTAGCAAGTGGTGTTGGGAAAGCTGGACAGCCACATGTAAATCCATGAAGTTAGAACATGGCTTCATACCATACACAAAAATAAACTAAAAATATCTTAAAGACTTAAATATAAGACATGACACGATAAAACTCCTAGAAGAGAGTATAGGCAAAACATTCTCTGATGTAAATTGCAGCAGTATTTTTTTAGATCAGTCTCCCAGGGCAAAATAAATAAAAGCAAAAGTAAACAAATGAGACCTAATCAAACTTATAAGCTTTTGCACAGCAAAGGAAACCATAAACAAAACAAAAAGACAGCATACAGACTGGGAGAAAATAGTTGCAAATGATGAGACTGACAAGGGCTTAACTTCAAAAATATATAAACACCTCATACAACTACGTATCAAAAATCAAACAACCCAATCAAAAAATGGACAGAAGACCTAAATAGGCATTTCTCCAAAGAAGACATACAGGTAGCCAGCAGGCACATGAAAAGATGCTCAACATCACTGTTTATTAGAGAAATGCAAATAAAAACTACAAGGAGGTATCACCTTACTCTGATCTGAATGGCCATCATCAGAAGTCTACAAATAATAAATACTGGAGAAGGTGTGGAGAAAAGGGAGCCAGTCCTCCTACACTGTTGGTGGAAATGTAAATTGGTGCAGCACTGTGGAGAACAGTATGGAGGTTCCTTAAAAAACTAAAAATAAGAGTTACTATATGATCCGGCAGTCCCACTCCGGGGCATATATCCAGAAAAGGTGAAAACTAATTCGAAAAGATACATGCATCCCAGTGTTAATTGTAGCACTGTTTACATTAGTCAAGACATGGAAGCAACCCAAATGTCCATAACAGATGAATGGATAAAGAAGGTGTGGTACGTACACACACACACACACACTCTCTCTCTCTCTCTCTCTCTCAGAAATATTAGCCATAAAAAATGAAATACTGTCATTCATAGCAAAAGTGGAGATTATCATACTGAGTGAAGTAAGAGAAAGACAAATATATCACTTATATGTGGAATCAAAAAAATAATACACATGAGTTTATTTACAGAACAGACTCATGGACATGGAAAACAAACTTATATTTACCAAAGGGGAAAAGGGGAGGGGGAGGGATAAAGTAGAGGAGTATGGGTTTAACAGATATGCATCACTATATATGAAATAGATAAACAACAAGGATTTACTGTACATAGCACCAGAAGCTATATTCAATATCTTGTAATAACCTACAATGGAAAAGAATCTGAAAAAGAATTTTATATACATATGTATGTATGTATGTGTGTATATAACTTACTTTACACCCAGAACTAACACAGAATTGTAAATCAACTATAGTTCAATTTAAAAAAAAAGTTCTTGAGCGTCTTTCCCAAGCAGTGGGCTATTATTTCCTTGTTCTGGCAATAAAAATGTAGTAATGGCACTATTCTTAGAAGTGCATGTCGTTCTTTCATATTTCTTTTTCATCACATATTCCCTCCTTTTTTCTTGTATATACAGCTGGAGAGGCAATACATATGGTAGAAAGAATGTGTATCGAGTTCTTCCTCTGGTTCTGGTGCTTACTAGCTTATAACCATGGACCATGGACCTCAGTTTCATTGGTTTTTCTCAATTATAAAATGATAATAACGTTAACTGCCTTGATAGTTGTTTTGATGGGTAAGTAAGATGTATACACAAAGTACCTTGCCCAGTTACTGGTTTTTAGTATTTGAGCTTGTTAGAGAGCTGCTTCTGTGTTTATGCTCCATATTTAGATACCATCGCATCTTCTGCATTGGAATAATTTTGCATTGCATTAGCAGACTTTGGGTGAGGTCAGCAGCGGGCAGGTAGTGCTTACCATTACTCTTAAATCCTGTTTCCTTAAGAAATTCTAATTAAAAAGGCATAAATATCTTCCCTCAGAACTGTAAATTTTTCATAACTGAATTATGCCTTTCTTTAGATTTAAAATCTCATAATAAAGGAAATCATCAAAATGTAAATATTTGCCAATAATTCCTATAATCAATAAAGAAAAGTTTTAAGGGAATATAAACATTTGTTTAATTTATTCAGATGTTTGCCTGTGTATAAGTGACATTCCCTAGACCTTTCAGGGACATGTGGGAAATAAGTGACATTATTCAACTTGGAGCAAATTCAGTTATCAAGATGTTTTTAGAATTTAGTTTTGGGGTTTTTTTTTTTTTGGCTACGCTGCGTGGCTTGTGGGATCTCAGTTCCCCGACCAGGGATTGAACCCAGACCATGGCAGTAAAAGCCCGGAATCCTAACCATTAGACCACCAGGGAACTTAGAATTTAGTAAATTCAGTAAACATACTTCAAAATTGATGCATTGAAAAGGCCTAAATGAAGATTTCATGTTTTTTGTTTTGTTTTCCTTAACTAGATTACAGCGAGGCAAGAAACAACAGATTGAAAATGGTAGTGGAGCAGAAGACAATGGAGACAGTTCTCACTGTAGTAATGCATCCACACATAGCAATCAGGAAGCAGGACCTAGTAACAAACGGACCAAAACATCTGATGATTCTGGGCTTGAGCTTGATAATAACAATGCAACAGTGGCAATTGATCCAGTAATGGATGGTGCTAGTGAAATTGAATTAGTATTCAGGCCTCATCCCACACTTATGGAAAAAGATGACAGTGCACAGACAAGGTAAGCGTGTGGGTTAGTTTCAGATTATCTGAATTTAGAATGTTAGAATGTTAAGGAGTTAAAAGGCAATTTTAGATAAGAATTAAGGGTGACATTTGTCATCCCATTGATTGCCAGGGTTTGGTTGGATATTTTGGCTGCCTGAATTGTTGTTTTCGTCTTTCCTCATGTGCTTCCCACCCACAGTTGCGTATCTGAAAGGAATGACCCTTCTAGGCAGAGGAGGAGAAAGGATCATTTACATTTCTTAACAATGATGCTAGGGTGCCAGAAGGCTCTAAAATTCATGCTGGCCAGGATGGCTGCTTTACCACTATATAACTCTAGAGAGCCTGTCCTTGAGTGCATATAAGCATCAAATATTTGTTGAGTGAGTGAGTAAATGGTATACGATGCTTCAAAAAACAATTAGCACTTCAGTGCTTTGTCTTAAAAACCTAAAATTTATTAATTCTTAGACAAGAAGAAATTGGCTCATATTCTTAGTATTATTCTTGCTGCTGTAGACTCAAAACTTCTGATCATTGGGATTGAGGGGTATGTTCTTTTTTTTCCTCTCGGTACAGTGTTATTTCTATTTGATTTTTGTCATTCTGTGTCATATTTTATGGATGGTAAGGTAGGTAGAGCTTTCATGGCCTGGTAGATAGTGAGCTTGTACTTTTACCGTTTCTGTACCTTTTCAATAAGAAATTTTTAGATAATAGAGGAATAAATTTCTGGTATTTTGTCAATAATTGAGACATTTTACATTTTATATATCTTTTTAGAAATGTATTAGTTTAGTTTAGTTTTGTTTTGTTTTTGCGGTACGCGGGCCTCTCACTGTTACGGCCTCTCCTGCTGCGGAGCACAGGCTCCGGACGCGCAGGCTCAGCGGCCATGGCTCACGGGCCTAGCCACTCTGTGGCATGTGGGATCTTCCCAGACCGGGGCACGAACCCATGTCCCCTGCATCAGCAGGTGGACTCTCAACCACTGCGCCACCAGGGAAGCCCTTAGAAATGTATTAGTTTTATAGTTTATGTATGTTTTATCACTAATCTAGAAAGTAAGGTTTTAATGGTTTATTTTTCCAGATACATAAAGACTTCAGGTAATGCCACTGTTGATCACTTATCCAAGTATCTGGCTGTGAGGTTAGCTTTAGAAGAACTTCGAAACAAAGGAGAATCAAACCAGATGAACCTTGATACAGCCAGTGAGAAGCAGTATACCATTTACATAGCAACAGCCAGTGGCCAGTTCACTGTAAGTATTTAAAATAATAGGCTGTTGAAATTGGGAGTACATTGATCATCTGAGAGTGGCAGGTTGTGGGGTGGGGCCTAATAAAATGGTACAGACTCTGGAAGGAGGAGAAGTTGCAACAGGTAGTTAACTTGATATATCCTTTGTTCTTTTATGAATAGTGTAAGTGACAAGTTTATCTTAGAATTTTTTTTTAAGATGGACTTTTTTAAAATTGGGGTATAGTTGTTTTACATTGTTGTGCTAAGATGGACTTCTCTGTTTGTTCCATCTCACAATTTTGTGCTTTGAGCAGTTTTCATAATTCTTTCTTTTTTTTTTTTGTTTTTGTTTTTGTTTTTGTTTTAGGTGTTAAATGGCTCTTTTTCTTTGGAATTGGTCAGTGAGAAATACTGGAAGGTGAACAAACCCATGGAACTTTATTATGCACCCACAAAGGAGCACAAATGAACTTTTACTAAAACCAATTCTGAGAATGAACTTTTTTATAGCCTATTTCTTTAATATTAAAGATGTACCGTCATTACTTTTATGGACAGAACATTGGATATGTTGTTCAGTTTTCTTTCTGAGCCAGATTCGTTTACACTATTAGAATCTTTTCCCCTTAATTTAAGATATCCTTTTTTGGAAGGGACTGCAGTTATTCAGTACTTTTTCTTTCCTTTTAAAACTATATCTAGGGTTGTATGTTTTCACGAAGTGTGGTTCCATTTGGAGCATCTTGGAGCTTTTGACCCAGGAATTTTTCATAGTTCTGTATTCTTAAGTGAAGATTCAGTTGGCCGTCCTTTCCCCTCCCCTCAGAAGTTTTTTAGGCCTACAGAATGTTAATGTATTTTGACTTTTTTTTCCTGGAGTCTTGTATATTTATAGTTTTCTATATAAGCTGTAGTATCTTCATGAAGACCAAGGCTCAAATTTACTGTGCGTAAAAAACAATTCTCATAGGATTATTATTTTCATGGTGTTTTCTTCCATAATATCTCATTTTTTTAAAAAAAGTTCTTTATGAACTTAGTGTCCATTGTCATGCAATGTTATTTTCTTCCATTTTTTTCTCTCTAATTTTGGAATTTCTGATCCTGGGAAAGAGAACCAAACAAGATCTCAAGTTCTGTGAGAACTTGGTTCATTCACAGATTTCATTGAAGAAAGAAAAATTAAATTGGTCTTATGTAGTCTTCAAGTGTATATTTAAAGAAGTCTTTTTTGTATTAGTTCTACTGTCACCTCAGTTCCTTTATTATGTGTTATGTTTTTTCCTATTAAAATACCAGAGACATGGAGATATTTTGCACTTTAGCCTTGATGAAAAGTACAAGATATGTTCAAAGCTTCCCTGATTCTTTTCTTATTGGTAGCCACATAAGTTTCAAAAATAACATGGTACATAGAAGTAACAATGGGGAAAAATTTGCTTCTGTTTGAAAAGTGTGTTTAGCATTTTGGGTTGCCATATCAGTTTATAAATTTTGGTGCTCTGCTAATTATACTCTTTCTAGAGAAGCAAGTTAATGGAGCTTGAGCCCTGCCTTGATGTGTAGTGAAAGATAATTCTGTAGAAGAATGTCAGCCAGCATGGTAAAGTTGTTCTACTCTTCTTAATTTAGTTTTATATTGAAGGACAGTGTTTGGTGTTTAGAGCCAAAAGGCTTTATGATTACAGGTCAGAAATAAGATTGACTTGCGTTTTATTTTTCGTCCCTGTCCTGATTCCAGGTATGTTTCCAAGTTTATATTATCACAGTATTTACAAAAACATGTTTGCATTGAGAATTAACCATAAAAGGTTTTTGCCAGGGGAGAGTCATCCTCTAATACCATTGTAACTAAAGCCTGTATAGTCATTGTAAATTATTTACCTGTCATTTTTGACAGATTGGGGCCAGCTTGATGTTTTAAATCTTCACCCCAATACAAAAATTAAAAGGCTTGTTAAATTTTTTACCATTTTATCGAAAATATTTAAAATCTGTTTTTACCTTGGGAATCTGTGCCATGAAATTTGAAAACCACCAAAAATCAAGGGAAATTTTGTATTCAGTTCCTTTTCTGGTATAATGTTAAATTGTATAGATTATTAATGCATGTCCACTGAATATAACCCTGGTTTTGTGATATAACTGCTTAGATTTTATTGGTGACATTAGGTTAATGGTTGCATTAAATAACTAAATTCCCATTGTGATTATGAATTGAAATTTGTCTTTAGGCAAAAAGTTATTTGTGAATATGAGCTTTGTGCTTAGAGAATGTATGTGTTTTTATCTGTCAGTATGGGAGGATGTAAATTCTTTGCATCATTAGTGAATTTATTGGATGTGTAATCCTTTGAAAAATATAATTATAGGTATTTGATAAGAGCATTGAATGTGTAGTGTCGTGTGTGTGTATGTATGTGTATGTGTGTGTGTTTTGGAGGGTGGGTACTATTTACTATTAACTACCAGCCATTTCATAAAGTATTTATTATTTAAGTAACTTCTATAACCACCGTCTCACCTGAGGAACAAAAGGCTCACTAAATAGGACCTTTGGATAATACATTATCATTTAAAAATTTATTATGGTAAAATATATATATAACCTAATTTATCATTTTAACCATACAATTAATTCAGTGACATTAAGATACATTCACAATGTTGTATAACCATCACCACTATCTATTTACAGAACTATTATCCCAATCAGAAACTCTGTACCTGTTAAATGATAATTCCACATTACCACTCCTACCCCCAGCTCCTGGTAAAACTCTGTTCTACTTTCTCTCTTTGACTTTGACTATTTTAGGCACCTTATATATGTGGAATCATACAGTATTTGTCCTTTGTGTCTTATTTCTCATAGCATAATGGTTTTAAGATTCATCCATGTTGTAGCATATATCAGAATTTTATTCCTTATTATGGCTGAATAATATTCCACTGTATGAATATACCACATTTTTTTTATCCGTTCATCTGTTGATGGGCCCTTAGATTGCTGGACACTTTTTGCTGTTGTGAATAATGCTGCTATGACCATTTTTGTACAAGTATCTGTGTGAGTCCCTGCTTTAAATTCTTTTGGGTATATACCTGGGAGTGAAGTTGTTGAATCACATGGTAATTCTATATTTAATTTTTTGAGGAACTGCAAACTTTTCTACAGTGGCTGCACCATTTTGCAATTCCTCCAGCAATGTAGAAGGATTCCACTTTCTCCACATCCTAACTAACATTTGTTATTTTTGTTTTTAATAGCTGTCGTGATGGATGTAAAGTGTTATTTCATTGTGGTTTTGGTTGCATTTCCCTGATGGCTTGTGATGCTAAGCATCTTTTCATGTACTTATTAGCCATTTGTATATATCTTCTGTGGAGAAATGTCTATTTAAGTCTTTTGCCCATTTTTAATTGGGTTGTTTTTCTGTGTGTGTTGTAGGAGTTCTTGATATATTCTGGATATTAATCTGTCATCAGATACATGATTTACAGGTATTTTCTCCCATTCTTGGGTTGCATTTTCACTCTTTCAGTAGTGTCCTTTGATGTACCAAAGTTTTAAATTTTGATGAAGTCTAGTTTTTCTTTCTGTTGCCTGTTCTTTTGGTGTCATATCCAAGAAGGCATTGCCAAATCCAGTATCACGAAGATTTTCCTCCAAGAGTTTAGATCTTTGATCCATTTTGAGTTTTGTATGTGGCGAAAGGTAAGGATTCACCTTTGTTTGCATTTGGATATCCAGTTTCCCCAGCAACATGTGTTGAAAAGACTGCCCTTTCTCCATTGAATGGTCCTGGCAGCCTTAATTAATTAATTTTCAATTGATGAAAATTAATTGACCTTATATGTCATGGTTTATTTCTGAGGTCATATTCCATTGGTCTGTATGACTGTTCTTTTGCCAGTACAGTCAGTTTTGATTATTGTAGCTTTGTAATTAGTTTTACGTTATCATTTTAAATCTTAAGGCTGGGGAAGACAATATTTCACTTGTACGTTTAAGAAAATTGAGGCTTAGGATTCTGACTTGGACAACTAAACCAGAAATAATTAAAATGCCAGATGAGAAGAGGTGTCTCTTTTGAATTCCCATCACATTTCTAGTTAGAAATATTTGGTTTTCTAAGTTTTAGAAACATGATTATTAGAAAGGAATAGTAATTAGTGTTCCATTGTTGTAATTATAAAAATGGCTTCTTTGAGAACTTAATGGAGTAAGGACCTCTGAAAATCTGATGTTCCATAAAAGCAATGAGAACACTAAAAGTTGTCAAAATCAACTTTGTCAGAACTCTAAAAATTAACTAAAGGCTGCCAATAGTCTAAAAAGCACTTATTAAACAGAAACCGTAACAATATATGTTGTAACTTTTGTGTCTGTGTGTGTGTGTGTGTGTGTGTGTGTGTGTGTGTGTATGTATGTATGTATGTATGTGTTATACTGCTTAAGAACCCTGCTTTAGAGTCTGGATTTAAATTCCAAAATTCCAATGCAATCTGCCTGGATTTAAATTCCATGCATCACTAGCCTTGGGCAGGTGATGCCAAGGTCATCATTTGACCTTGGGCAAATCTTTTTTCATTTCTCCAGCACCCAGCCGCAATGGGCAAGTTGGTTTGTAACATTTTATATTGCCCTATCTTTCCCTAGTTCCAGGGTAGCCTTGAAAACAAGTAGCCTTGCAACTATGGTAGCTGTTAAAACCAGCAGCCTAGTTGACACTGGAGGGGACTTGAAGCTAACCAGAAAGCCCACCCCAGAGAACTGTCAGTATTTGACCTGTCTGGTACCTCACTGAAAAGCTCTATTCTCAGAGCTTGTCTTTATTTAACCTGACTCGACTCACTGTGTGCAAACAGCTCTGTCTTCAGCCTGTTTGTGGAAAGCAGCTGCAGTTGTTTACCATAGAAGCTGCCTGACAGGGCAGTGATAACAATTGGGGCTAAAAAGACACTGACCAAAAAAGAAAAGGAAAAGCTGAGGAATGACGTATCTGTAGAGGACTTTGAAAAACTCGAGCATATTCCTGGGAATCTAGAAGGCCACATGCGCAAGGCTGTATGCATGCCCAAGAGAAAAATGAAGAAGGCACCATTCTCACCAGCGACAGAACTTGAGGCTCTGCAAGTAGGAAGTGAAGGCTAGGGCAGAGTTGTAAACTGCGTGTTGGAGTGTTGAAGGCCTATCCCAACACATTCACAGAGCGCTTCTTCAATGCTAGGAGAGTTATTGTTTGAAGGCATTTAAGGAGATTTCTGTCCAATCATTAGCTGACTTCTAAGCTAACAAAACAGAATATAGTGGTCACACTCAGCAAAGAATGCAGACTTTACAGAATTAGTCCAAGAAGTTCACTAACAAATAGCAAACACAACAAACCCTGGGAAGGGAAGGGATTCTGTTGTTCAGAGTTGCCACATCATATTAAATGTCTAGTCTCAACAAAAATTTACAAGACATGCAGAGAGACAAAGTGTCTGGGAGGAAGCCCAGATGTTTGACTTATTAAGCAAAAACTTTGTTAGCTTTTAAAAGCATGTTCAAAGAACTAAAAGAGACTATATCTTAAAAGCTAAATTTGAGGATAATCTTTCACTAAATAGAGAATAAAAGTAAAGAGAAATTATGATAAAAGAACCAAATAGAAATCCTGTTTTGGAAAAATACAACAAGTGAAATAAATTCAGTAGAGGGCCTCAAAAGCAGATTTGAACTGGTAGAAATATTCAGCAAACTTGAACAGAGGTATCAAGAGGTATCAGTTGAGAGTGTCCTCTCAGAAAAAAAGGAAAGGAATAGAAACTAACACAACATTGTAAATCAACTATACCCCAATATAAAATAAAAATTAAATTAAAAAAAAAGGAATGAAGGGGGAAAAAAGCTGCAGAGATCTGTGGGACACTGTCAAGTGATTAGCATAATTGGGGTCCTAGAAGGAGAGGAGAGAAAGGGGCACAAAGTGTATTTGAAGAAATAATTGTCCAAAACTTTAGAATTTTATGAAAAAGAATCCGCACATCTCAGAAGCTTAACTAATGCTAAGTAAGACAGACTTTCAGAAGAAGCAAGAGAAAAGTGATCGCATACAAGGTATCTTTAGTAAGATTAACAACTCACTTCTCATGGGAAATCATGGCGGCTGGGAGAGTAGTGAATGACATAAAAAGCACTGAAAGAAAAAGACAGTCCACCTAGAATTCTGTATGCCACAAAAGTATTCCTCAAAATGAGAGAAATTAAGATGTTCACACATAAAAACAGAACAAATTTGTCACTAGCAGACCTGCCTGCC